CGGCCAAAGGGCTCAATGTTTTTGCGAATTACGAAATATTTATGGTTAACGGGACTTTTAAAGTGCGACATTTAAATAAGAATTACGTACAGATTCTGCTACGTGATGCAATCAATGAAGATTGTTTTTTATTCTGCTAAGGGAATCACACCAAAAAAGCAAATCTTATTAGAAATCACGAAACAATTAATTTCGAAAATTGTCAAAGTTTTGGTTTGCAAAACAGGTTTTGGAAAATGACAAATGATTATAGAATTTGTGAACACAATATGCAAGGAAAAGATTTTTGTTTGGTTTGATAAAATAGAAAAATGTATTCTTCTTGTATTTTTTGTTTCATCAGACTTTACTTCCTTCCAACATTCTTACTTTCTTTCTTTTTTACTTTCTACTTTGTATGTATTCATTGGTTGTTCTTGTTTTCTTACTTCTTTACACCTTTTTTTCTTTCTAGATGTTTATCTGACTTTATCTCTTACATTCTTTCTTTCTTTCTTTCTTTCTTTTCCTTTCTTTTCTTTTCTTCGAGATGTTCACTGGTCTTTATTCCTTTCTTTCTAGCTGGTCAGAAGTCTTTCTTTTTTATTCTTTATTTCTTTCTAGCAATCAATCAGTCTTATTTTCTGAATGTGTTTTATGCTCTTTTTTCTTTTTCGTTGTCCATTGTTCTTTCTTTCTTTCTTTCTTTCTTTCTTTCTTTCTGCTCTTCACCGGTTTTTCTTTCTTTCTTTCTTTCTGTGTTTCTTCGTTTGTTTGTTTGTTTGTTTCATTGTTTCTTTGTATGTCACTTTGTTCCTTAATCGTTCTTTCTTTCTTTCTTTCTTTCTTTCTTTCTTTCTTTCAGCTCTTCACCGGTTTTTCTTTCTTTCTTTCTTTCTGTGTTTCTTCGTTTGTTTGTTTGTTTGTTTCATTGTTTCTTTGTATGTCTCTTTGTTCCTTAATCGTTCTTTCTTTCTTTCTTTCTTTCTTTCTTTCTTTCTTTCTTTCTTTCTTGTTCCTTCATCGGTCTTTCTTTCTTTCTTTCAGCTCTTTACCAGTTTTTCTTTTTTGCTTCGCTGTTTATTTCTTTCTTTCTTTGTTTCTTCGTTTGTTTGTATTTTGTTTCTTTGTTTGTTTCTTTGTCCCTTCATCGGTCTTTCTTTCTTTCTTTCTTTCTTTCTTTCTTTCTTTCTTTCAGCTCTTCACTGTGTTTTCTTTTTTTCTATCTGCTATTCACAGGGTTTTCTTTCTTTGTTTCATTGTTTCTTTGTTTATTTCTCTGTTTCTTTGTTTTTTCTATCTTTTGTTTGGTTGTTTGTTTTTTTCTTTCAGGCCTACGTCGTTGTTTGTTTGTTTGTTTGTTTGTTTTTTTCTTTCAGCCCTATATCGTTGTTTGTGTGTTTGTTTCTTTCTTTCTTTCAGCCCTACATCGTTGTTTGTTTGTTTGTTTCTTTCAGTCCTACGTCGTTGTTTGTTTGTTTGTTTCTTTCTTTCAGCCCTACGTCGTTGTTTGCTTGTTTCTTTCTTTCAGCCCTACGTCGTTGTTTGTTTGTTTGTTTCTTTCTTTCTTTCAGCCCTACTTCGGTGTTTGTTTGTTTCTTTCTTTCTTTCAGCCCTACGTCGTTGTTTGTTTGTTTCACTCTTTCTTTCAGCCCTACGTCGTTGTTTATTTGTTTGTTTGTTTGTTTCTTTCTTCTTTCTTTCTTTCTTTCTAAATGTTCACTGATCTTTTTTTTATTCCTTTCTTTCGAGATGGTCAGAATTTTTTCTTTTTTCCTTTCTTTATTTCTTTCTCTTTGTTCGTTGGTCTTTCTTTTTTTATTCATTATTTCTTTTTAGCAACCCATCGGTTTTATTTTCTGAATATCTTCAACGCTGTATTTTATTTCTTCGTGTTCATCGCACTTTCTTTCTTTCTTTCTTTCTTTCTTTCTTTCTTTCTTTCTTTCTTTCTGTTATCCTCCTCTTTTTCATATAAGTGGACTCGACCAGAGTGTTACTTGGACTGCCGCCGTTAAATACCCAGAGTCAGTCAGAATATATATAGAGTGATTGGGAGTGAGCAGAGATTGTGATTGAGTTGGAGGTAGAGTAATAGTGTGAGGTAACCGCTTGTAGAAGTCTCAGCTACAAGCACGTAGACTCTAAGGAAGTCCTACTTCGAGACTATATATATATATATATATATATATATATATATATATATATATATATATATATATATATATATATATATATATTACTAACTGTTCCTAACTAACAGTATTACCCATTGTATTATTGTGTAAATACATTTAATTTCTTATATTTAATTCTTGCGTTTGTCATTCATTGGAGACCGAATTTCAGCTCTGAATCCACAACTCTTTCTTTCTTTCATTTTATCAGTTTTGAAGTTGTTCAGGGCTCTTTTTCTTCTATCCTTTTGCCCTTTCCGCCAACGCAACTTTCTATTTCTGCTCTCGTTCATCTAAATTTATTCTCTCTCTTTCTTTATCTCAATTTTTTTTATTTTCTGTAACTGCACATTATTCGTTTTTCTAAAATTTCCCGGTCTTTGCTCTTCTTAATTCACTGTCCACTTATTTTTATTACAACTCTTTTATCCCCCCCTCTCTTTCATTACTTACATTGTTCATATTTTTACTTATTATTGCTCATGCTTCTTTCTTTCTTTCTTTCTTTCTTTCTTTCTTTCTTTCTTTCTTTCTTTCTTTTACTTTGTTCTTATTCATTTTCTTCAGAAATCAAATCCTCTTTGAGTTTAATGCTACTTGTTTATCGTTCCTTTTCTCTTCGGAGCAGATCCAAATATAATCCTATTGAAGTTAAAAAAAGCCAACAAAAGCACGATAATCCGCGAAGTCATTGTTGAGCTTAAAATAAATGCCCACAAACTAAAAACAGAAACTCTTGCCGTAGAGTATAAAAGTTGAAGAAAAATATAAAATTTTATGACATAACAAAATTTACATGGGTCATAACTTTTACTGTTGTCGTTGATGGTGATGTTAAAAAAGATCCTTAGTTGGCAAACAAATAAAAGTGAAAGGAAAAATAATTCTTTTATTAGAAGTACAAAGAAATCGAAAACAAACGGAAGTTGGTACAGTTCAAAATTTCCTGTTTCTTGTAGATTTGAGAAACGTTTGGCATGTTACTATCCATGTCTAATTCCTGCCATCCCTTTGTACAAACGCATCAGGTACCCATCTTATCATCCGTACGGCTTGTAAGTATATGATTTTTCAAGTCATCGTACCTGGCAATGTGTCTTCAAAAATTTCAACTGGTTCTTACTGATTTTAAAAATAACTGTTTTCCAAGTTCTTTAAAAAGGTTTTGCTGTTCATGTGTTCAGTCCAGAATATTCTCAGCATTGATCTGTAGGACCACTTCGACTTCCTTCTTCATCTGTGAGGTTATTGAGCAGCTTGTAAAGAGCATGGTGGACTCGCCCGTCGTATGAGGGTCAAGCAGGTTCCTAGGAACCGACAGCCCAGACACCAGCATATGATTTGATTATAGTAGTGAAGGCTTTGTGGAGAAACAATCACATTTTTTGAAGGGCCGAATACAGAGACTTGGTGCATTACTACAAGGTTTTTGAATTCAGCGTTGTCCTTCTCCTAGACTAGTAGCCATCCAAGGCTATAGATCCCAGTTTGTCCTGCTATTTACCCATAGTTGAGGGTAGAGTATTGATATCCTTTTCAAGGGTATTAGCGCGTATGGAATTCAAACTCGGCTCTCCGATTCCTTAATCCGAGCTGCTATCCACTACTCCACCATGCCTCATTAAATGGTGGACTCTCCAGTCGTATTTGAACCAACAGCCCAGACACCAGCAGATATGATTTAATTATAGCGGTGAAGGCTTTGTGTAGAGCTAACCACACTTTTTGAAGGGCCGGATAAAGAGACCTGGTGCACTAAGTACCTGTTATGGTGTAGAACCATCGAAAGATAACACGGACTCGGATATAAGGTTAAATAGTAGATTCTCAGAAACGTAGTACAAAGGTAAATGTGGACTGGAGAGTACTTTCTCTCACTGGGGTCCTGACTCACTCATTTACTCACTCTATGGCTACTACTAGTTGGCCCTCACTTGGTGGCTCCCTTTACTTAGAGGTGGTAGCCATATTATATATGTGTGGAAGAGTCCATTTGTAGGTAGGTCCCCACAATAGTACCACAAGGTCTCCAAACAACACTTCACGGGTTTTGAATTCAGAGTTGTCCTTCTGCTAGACCAGTTATCATCCAAGGCTACAGAACCCAGTCTGTCGTGCTATTTACCCAGAAGAAGAAGAAGAGCATATGTAGATATATATGGCATTGATATAATGTGGAGAGTCTATATTGAATCAGTTGCTATGTCTATTGCTAGGAAAGTTGGTTCACTGTGCAGTACAAGAAGGTTTTTTCCGTTAGAATCCATCGTTCACCTTTACAAATCTACTATTCGTCCGTGCATTGAATATATCTGCCATATTTGGTCTGAGGCTCCTGCTGTATATCTTGAGATTATTGACAATATTCAAAAAGTGTCTGTCATGTAATAGGTTCTGATCTACAATCGATTGTAAAAATCTATTTTTGAGATAATAATAATTTCCTGATACAAGTCTTACTAATTAATTTATAGCTGGGTCCGAAGATGTTTATCCATACCTTTTTCAAGTTAATGTAACGAACCGATCTGGAACTGGAGGTCTGATCTCCGATTAACAACTCCGGGCCATTATCCATTACACCACCCTCAAATCAAAGCTCACAGCACCTGGTTTTCCCAAGCGATCACCCATCTAGGTATTAACCAGGCTCGACGTTGCAATCTCTTAGACATTGAAAATGAGAATGTAAGGTCTATAGTTCAGATGGAGGAATTAAATGACGAACTATGGAGTTGGATAAATTTGAAGGTTAATTATGACAGCCATGACCAAAATTTTGAATCATGCAACATTCTTTAACAAAAACGATAAAATAAAGAAATAGTATAAATATAAATGGCAGTACACACTTCAATGTATCATATTTATTTAAAGCAATTTATTTTGTAATAATTTCATTAAAAACTATTTATATGACAAACAATATAAACTAGTTTTCGTATGACGAACTTTCACCTTCATAACTACTTCAGTTGAGTCATGCTGGTTATAATACTCTACCAACATTCAGATGAAATTCCAATGGTGCAGGTGTCTGGAATTATGTTGTATGGAATTAAATGGAAATGTGCAATATGATTCCCTGCCGGGAAATACCAGATGGTCTGAATAAAATTTAATGTCAATAAGGTACGTTTGTTCTGAGAGAAGTTGAAATATTTAATTGGAGAGCCGAGTTCCAATTCCAGTTAAGTTCGTTATAATCCTTTGGGAAAGGTATGGATCCACCTATTATCCCTCTATCTATGGGTTAATTAGTAAGTCTTGTATCACTATATCATTATTATCGCCCTCACCTATTTTTACAAACTAAAAATATTTTATGGATTTAAATAACCTACGAAGGGTTGATAAACCGTTAAAAACGAACCAATCAATCAATTCAATCTGACACAGAAGTATGCAGTACAATAAAAACTGATTTACAACATTATAAAATATTATCGACTTCTTACAGTTCAATCTTATTTCATTTTTGATAATTTTTATATGCAGGAATTCGGATGATAAATGAGATCACCTCTCAATCATGTATTAGCGTGTCTTTTCTTAGGATGTCTAGAAATCGGTTATTTCTAAAGTATTTTATTTAAAAAATTAGTATATTTCCGTTATATCGTTGCTACTTTATTGATATATCCTTGCGAAAAGATATTGTAATTAAACAACATGGAATCGAATTTACAAATTTTATCATACCGTGATATCATTTTAAGCCGTACTGAAAAATTTTCTAAAAATAAACCTCTAATATCTGTCTATATTTCTGAGATGAAGTATTATGTACATTATTTACATTATACGGACTATTATCCTCATCTTTGTCGCCATATTTATTACAACATTTCGGCCGTTGTACGCTCCGGCCTTCTTCAGGTGGTTGGAATTTCGAACTGAACCCTTTATTTCGCTCACTGGGATAGACTGTTCTAGTTCCACGTGCCATGTTTAATGGATGTCAGTTATCAGTTATCTACATTCCAACCACCTGAAGAAGGCCGGAGCGTACAACGGTCGAAACGTTGTAATAAATATGGCGACAAAGATGAGGACAATAGTCCGAATAATGTAAATAATGTAAACAAACCTCTATTGAAACATGACTCTTTAGTATGGGATCATGTCTCTCCACAATTTCTTTTTCTTTATTATCTGTGAATTGCCATGAATTATTGGGAAATTTGGAGAAGTCATTTCCGGTTTGATATCCTCTTAGATTGGCTGCCATCCAGAGTTTGAGAGGACTGTCTATCCTGTTTTTTAATCCATAGCTGGGGTAAGATAGAATAGACGTACCTATGCGTTTTTCCAATGGTAATAGTATAACAGTGAACGTAACAGGCTATTCTAGAATTTGAACTCAGCTTGTCGGTTCCAAGTTATGGTCTGACGTCGAAAAGGTATTTTTAGTAATTCAGATTATAAATTTTAAATTTAAAGGAATTCTGTGGATTGTAAGAAATTTTGGGCGGATTTTCTCGACGTGTTTCTTTAAATCGATTTTTGCCGGTTTATACGTTTCCTTCGTAAGCTGCGCCTAATTTCTTTCTCCTCTTTTAAGCTTGAAGATTTGCTGTATTTTACAAGTACAGAGAAGGTTAAAAATAAAGAGACGAACAAAGGAGGCAAAAAAAAAAAAAAAAGAAAAAAAAAGAAAAATGGCTGATGTACGATAGGGAGGCTCTCGTATTTTCACGATGTACACTCATAAAAAAACCCCAAGAATGGGATGTACGACAAGGGAATTAATAAATTTCAATATATTTTTCTCGGATAAAAATTGATATCTGAAAGATATTTACTTTCGTTTAGTTTTTTTTTTTTTTTATCTTTTTGCTCGCACGGAGCGAGATGTAAGGTACAAATAAATATTAAGAGAGAGAAGGGATTCGAATAATAATAATAACAATAATAAGGATAATAATAATGATAATAATGATCATAATAATAATCGTTTCTTTTTTTAATAAAAAGGGATTGAAGGCAAATTTTGTGTTGCTTTTGTAGATTGATGAGGTAAAACGGTTTATATATACCCCAAAATTCTTGAGAACTTGAAAAGGTCTGCATCTTATATATTCATTTTTTCTTCCTCGCTTTACTTTGCGCGCCTAAAGAGCTTTAACACATAGTGCGTATTTCCGATGGCTTATAAAATGAAGAAAAAGTCTTTGCATACGATTCCTTATTGAACTCGCAAAAGATACAAAGGTTATTAATATCATATTTCGGAATGGTAAAATTCTAAAGATAAACTATGTAATCAGAAAATAATACAATATATATATATATATATATATATATATATATATATATATATATATATATATATATTGCTATA